GTTTTTATATATAAGTTGTTCGGGTTTTTTCATCTAAAAAAAAGTTACATTAATTTCTTGACAACCTAATAAGTATATCTAGTGGTAAGTCACTATCATGACCACAGTTGTAACCAGGGGGGAAAGGACTAATAGGCTTTAACTAAATATATTTATTAGTAGGTTACTGTATCATGACCACAGATGTAACCAGGGGGAAAGGACTAACAGGCTTTATGACACATTTTACTCTTAAAATCTCCAATGTAGTTAGAACATAGTTCTGATTAATCTAGTATTCAATGGTAAATACTTACAATTGAGGTATGTAATAATTTACATTTTTAAAAAACCCACAATGTACCATCCACGTTACATTATAAAATCTTTAGTTTTTAAAGAAAGGATATATTTCAACTATTAACTATGAAAAGGTAAAATTACTGAAATCAATTAAATTAATTCTTACACTGATTTTTTTATATTTAATTACATAAGTGTAACAATTATTACAACTAAAGTAGTTCCCACACTAGTTTTCTATATTTAATTATGTATGTAACAAGCATTGCAATTAAAGTAATTATTGGACTAATTTTTTTATATTTAGCAGCAAAGCTTCTTTAAATTATGATTATTATTTAACAACACCAGGTACTACATTTTTATCACACCAGGTACTACAGTTTTATCACACTATTTTATATATTTTTTCTATATTATGTATTACATTATATGCACACCATGAACTGCATTTTTAACACACCGTGTACTAGTTTTATCACACCGTGTACTACATTTTACCACACCATGTACTACAGTTTTATCACACCATGAACTACATTTTTAACACACCGTGTACTACATTTTACCACACCGTGTACTACAGTTTTATCACACCATGTACTACAGTTTTATCACACGTGCATTACACTTTTACCACACCGTGTACTACAGTTTTATCACACCATGTACTAGTTTTTAACACACCATGTACTACAGTTTTAACACACCGTGTACTACAGTTTTATCACACCATGTACTACAGTTTTAACACACCATGTACTACAGTTTTAACACACCATGTACTACAGTTTTATCACACGTGTATTACACTTTTACCACACCGTGTACTACAGTTTTATCACACCATGTACTAGTTTTTAACACACCATGTACTACAGTTTTAACACACCATGTACTACAGTTTTATCACACATGTATTACACTTTTACCACACCGTGTACTACATTTTAACACACCGTGTACTACAGTTTTATCACACCATGTACTACAGTTTTACCACACCATGTACTACAGTTTTATCACACGTGTATTACACTTTTACCACATCATGTACATTTTACCACACCGTGTACTACAGTTTTTAACACACCGTGTACTAAAGTTTTTAACACACCATGTACTACAGTTTTATCACACCATGAACTACAGTTTTAACACACCGTGTACTACAGTTTTTACCACACTGTGTATTACACCAAACTATTTTTTAAAAAAAGAAAGAAAATTTAATAAATCACTTGCTTCTTTGATTTCTTTGTAGTTTCATGAGCAGTTGGAACTGATGACAAAGAACCAATGTCTTTACTTGCCAATGTAAATTCTCTACTTAAATTGGGAAGGTGGTTAAGTGTTCCTGTGTTAATTGCCTCATAGCTGGCTTTTAAACTAGCTGTTCTCCTACCCTGCTGCATCTGGAAATAAAACATTGTAATGAATGTCAATGTTGAAATATACCAAGCCACTAGATTATTTATATACACATATATAAAAGTATTGAACTCTAACCTTTGACAGTAACAATACATTACTCAATAAAATGTGACAACTGCTTGGTAAGAATACAACACACAAGTTTATATGTCTGAACAAACCAAACTTTCAGGTCTTGGAATACTGTCATGCTACGTGTCACTATAACTATTGGAATACTGTCATGCTACGTGTCACTATAACTATTGGAATACTGTCATGCTATGTGTCACTATAACTATTGGAATACTGTCATGCTATGTGTCACTATAACTATTGGAATACTGTCATGCTACGTGTCACTATAACTATTGGAATACTGTCATGCTACATGTCACTATACCTATTTGATTACTGTCATGCTACATGTCACTATAACTATGAAAATTTCTCATCCTGCATGTTCCAAACCAGCCTGCTTGGACTGGACATCTATTTACAGTTTGTATTGCGTGTAGAGTTGCTTGAGACTGGTATGAGAAGTGTGTTACAAGTGATGCCAGTGTATTCCAAATATTTCAAAGAATTACAACAATAGCCATACAAACATATGATGTATCACTATGGAAATGACTGAAAGTTCCAATTTACTTCTGCATTCCTTAGTAGTCAGCTACAAAAGGTAATTCAAATTTTTAAGCCCATGTCAAAATTCTATTTCAACAAATGCTGAAACAATGTTTAGGATCATAGCAATAACAGAGTGTGTCAGAAACTGGAAACAAAAATTTACTTACTACTACAGTATAACTGTGTGTCATAGTTCTAATACACCTTGCAATATGTCAGTCACTTATGTTTGCATAATTTAAAGCAAAACTGAAGAAAAAGGAAAAGTTTTTTTGTCTGTAATTAAGCACAAAGCTACACAATGGGCTATCTGTGCTCTGCCCACCACGGGTATCGAAACCCGGATTCTAGTGGTGTAAGTCCACAGACATACCGCTGCGCCACTGGGGAGCAAAAGGAAAAGTAGGTAGAGAAAAACACTATGAAGCATTGTTCATATAATTAATTCAAGATAGAACCATATAAATCAAGAAGAACTAACTTTTAATGTGTATAACTGGTGTATTGATTCAAGATAGAACCATATAAATCAAGAAGAACTAGCTTTTAATGTGTATAACTGGTGTATTGATTCAAGTTAGAACCATATAAATCAAGAAGAACTAGCTTTTAATGTGTATAACTGGTGTATTGATTCAAGTTAGAACCATATAAATCAAGAAGAACTAACTTTCAATGTGCATAACTGGTGTATTGATTCAAGTTAGAACCATATGAGTCAAGAAGAACTAACTTTCAATGTGTATAACTGGTGTATTGATTCAAGTTAGAACCATATAAATCAAGAAGAACTAACTTTCAATGTTATAACTGGTGTATTGACCTACAGCACCAAACAGTAAAGAAAGCAAGACTGGGAGATCAAAATGGATAGCCACACTTATGACCTACATCATCAAACAGTGACAAAAACAAAACTGGTAGACCAAAGTGATCAGTCTCAGTTCAAAACTCTCAATTACCTCTGTGTATGGTCTCAATCATTTCGACTGACTTTGTCTCCACAAAACTACATATAACATACCCTTTAATGTATAAAATGTATTTTCATGAAATTTGGCAAGCATTTGGACAACATTACAGTCTGTTGTGCACACAAATTCAAAGTTTTAATAAAGTATTTTCACTAAAGTTTTACCTCAAAGTTTATGAAGCCTTTACTGAGTTAGTCTGAGTGCAAGGTGATTTTCAAGTTCAGTATAAAAATATTTTTTTTCATCTTTCAATTTTAACATTTCATTTACATAGCTAGAACCTCCTAAATGAATGTCAAAAGTTTACTGAAAGACATTGATAAAAAGTTGTTTAAAATTCAATTTTGAATGTAACACTGTTAAAAGTCTACGACATGCATATTGACCCACCCTTGCTCAGAAGTCGCTGAACATCGTCAAGCTTTACTTGTCAATAATAGCATATGTTAAACAACAGAATTTGTTGTGTATATCTTGTATTCTATGACTTTGATCACCACTGTCAGATGGTTCTTTAGGTTAAAGATATTTACAGGAAAACAGCTAAAATGGTCATACCTGCTGAGTTGCTGCTATTGCTTGGGATGCAGCGGCTGCAATGGCATTACTACCAACCGGAAGACCGTAGCTTAACGATGACTGGGAGGTTGCCACTTTTTCTCCTCCAGTGCTGCTCACAGATGATGTAGATGACTGACTTGATGAAGTTCCTCCAGTATTTTTTGCTTCCCGGCTCCCTTCGTGTCCTATAGATGCTAATACCTTCTCTGACTGTGTCCGTTTCTCTGGTTGACCGATCTGTCCTCCTGCCACACTCAGCTTGCGTTCTTTTAGTTTGACAAATCACATTTATAATCTTCCTAAAGATCTATCATTTTCAGTAATATTTCTAACTTAAAGATCTAGGTTAATATTAAATATCAACCAATCCAATCTATATAAACACTGTTTGAGTTCAATGTACACAAATACCCTTAACAAGTGCTTAGGTTTGTTACTAACCCCAATCTACATTAAGTTATCAATCTTTTTCTAGATAACTCAAGGTTAGGTTCCCATTACTACATCTAACATTTACATCACAACATAATGCTGCTTAGCTTGATATTAATCGAAGTCTATGTAACCACTTCCAACCCACATATACTTTATAACTTCTTATTGATTTTGTTCATTTACTTAACAAGTCTATTTAGTAATGCTTTAAGAAACTCATGTAAGTTCAATTGATGTGTTAGAAATGAAAGAATTAACAACATTATACTTTGTAGTATTTTAAACAGTATCCATGAGTCTGATGAGAGCTGAGTGATGAAAATGTTAACACCTCAGTAGTATTTTAAACAGTATTCATGAGTCTGACTAAATATTTTTTTACAGTATCCTTGAATCCAGGGAAAGAGCTGAATGATGAAAATATTATGAGCACTATCCATAAATCCAAAGTGCAGTGAAAGCTTTAAAACCCATGTAATATCTTCAATATACTAATTTTCATCGTTTAAACTTACTTTCTGCCTTTAGACTGTTTTGAAGTTTTGGAAGTTTATCTAACTCCAAAGATCCTAAAAGATTTAAAAAAATAAAAACAATTTAATCATAGCTCCTGACAGTCAGGCATAAGAAATACTTACTCATCATACCTTACTAGCTAGACATTAAACTTTATTGTCACACCTTACAACTCACTCTTAAAACATACTTAATCATCATGTGTTTGTTACTAGCCATTCATAAAACATACTTAATTATCATACCTTACTAGCCAGACATAAAACACACTTAATTATCATACTAGCCATACATAAAACACACTTAATTATCACGTGTTTGTTACTAGCCATACATAAAACACACTTAATTATCACGTGTTTGTTACTAGCCATACATAAAACACAATTATCATGTGTTTGTTACTAGCCATACATAAAACACAATTATCATGTGTTTGTTACTAGCCATACATAAAACACACTTAATTATCATGTGTTTGTTACTAGCCAATACATAAAACACACTTAATCATCATGTGTTTGTTACTAGCCATACATAAAACACACTTAATCATCATGTTTGTCACAAGCCACACATAAAACATTACTTAATCATCATGTGTTTGTTACAAGCCATACATAAAACATACTTAATCATCATGTGTTTGTTACAAGCCATACATAAAACACACTTAATCATCATGTTTGTTACAAGCCATACACAAAACATACTTAATCATCACACCTTATTAGCCAGACATTTGGGATAACATTTGTTGCAATGGTGAGAATAAAAAAATGCCTAATATAACTAACAGTCTATAGACATCATTGTCCTCATCCTAAGACCTTTGCAACAGTTTAAATATAGTACTGATAAATTGTTTTTTAGAAGTTTTATCAAACTTGTATGTAAGGTAGCTATAATTAAAGACTGGAAAGCCTCAAAAGTTAATTTAAATGTATACAAAGTTTTAATATAGACATAATAATATGTTTAGATTATTATTTAGTATATAACCTTTATAAGCTTTTACAAATTTGATTTTTCATTCTTTAAATTTTTTGCATAAAAGCACAAATCTATAAAACAGACTTTATTTAAGCCTGTTTACGAGTTTTTAAGATTAAGAGTCTGCTAATAGTAAACAAAATGTTGCTGTTAAAAACCCACTTTTTTCTAAAACTTCTGTAATTCCTGGGTTATCTGCTTCTAATTCCATTTTAAATTTCTGAAGCTCTTGATCCAATCTTCTTAAGTATCTGTCCACCTATGAAATGTTTAACAACTGACTTTATTACAAATAAATTAAAAAAAGCCAAACATTAAATCTTTTTAAGTCCATAAAAAAAGCATTTAAATTCACAATTTTTGTTGTTGTTAACTTTGTTTGAAACAATTCTCAGCTGAACATGGTACAGGTTTTCTGTTACCTACCAAAGTGTTATAATAAAGTACAATTCTAATAACATGCTAACCAAGTCATACATCTGGTTTGCTATTTGAACTTTCTCATCTGCATCTTCCAGGGCCTTGTAATAATCCTGCAAAAAAATAACAACTGAGTGTACAGAAATATTAAAGATTCTAAATTTCTAGTTTCTATTCAACACATCATAAAAGCTTTAATGTAATGGGAAAATAATGACTTCAATGGATATTTTTACAGCATCAATTTCTTTTCTATGAAATGACTCATTCAAGAATTTGTATTATGTTACTCCAAACAAGGCTAACATAGAATAAAATATTGACAAAGGAAAAACTGTTAACTTATAACAATGAAAAGTAAATAAAATATCGTTTACTATGTACAATGGTGACAAAGGAAAACTGTTAACTTACAACAACGAAGAGCAAATAAAATATTGTTTACAATGTACAATATTGACAAAGGAAAACTGTTAATTTACAACAATGAAGAGGAAATAAAATATCGTTTACTATGTACAATGGTGACAAAGGAAAACTGTTAACTTACAACAATGAAGAGGAAATAAAATATCGTTTACTATGTACAATGGTGACAAAGGAAAACTGTTAACTTACAACAATGAAGAGTAAGTAAAATATTGTTTACTATGTACAATGGTGACAAAGGAAAACTGTGAACTTACAACAATGAAGAGCAAATAAAATATTGTTTACTATGTACAATGGTGACAAAGTAAAATGTAACAGTGATAAGCACATAAAATATTGTGTACTTAGGTACAATGCTGACATATATAAAACATATATGGACTATTCTCTACATTTCAAATACTTTTCTTTGAACTGCAACTTTTTGGGCATCTTACCAGTAAGAGTTTGCTTTATTTGTTGTACTGGAGTAGCTCATTGTACTACACAGGATTTCATTGTTTACTTTAATGTTTGTTGTACTACAGAGTAGCTCACTGTTTACATTCATGTTTGTTGTACTACAGAGTTGCTCATTGTTTACTTTGTTTCTTCCATTGGAGTAGTTCACTGTTTACTTTAAGGTTTGTGGTAGTACAAAGTAGCTCACTGTTTACTTTGATGTTTGTTGTACTACAGAGTTGCTCACTGTTTCATGTTTGTTGTGCTTTACAGTAGCTCAATGTTTAGTGTGATGTTTATCTGTTTGGAAACATTTTCCAATTACTGTAATTTTTGTTGTGTGTACAGTAACTTGCTACTAATTGCAAGCTGGAAGGAAAATAATGTTTGGATTCACTGATCTTTATCTTCTTCAAATGAGACTTTATAAATTATCCATAATCACTAATAATTAAAAATAACAAAAACCAAGAAAAATGTTGAAACAAAATATGGAAAACAAGATCTTGCTGTACGTGAATAAATTTTCTTCATATTTCATTTGAGGAATAGAAACAATACCTACCTCTCTAATCTTTTCATACTCTGCATCTCTTTGATCTGGTTTTAGTTTCTTGGCATTAGGAAAGAACTGTTTAACCTGTTCTTCGAGGCTGTCCATTCCATCTACACAATAAAAGGAAACATGTTCAAATAGACTTATTTGCTGTCAAACTGACACTACTTTTGTAAATTGCAGATATTAATAAACTGTAAATACTGCAACAAGAACCATCTGATATGAAGGTTTACTAATTTCTTCATACTTGTTCACTCTTATATTTTGTAACCAATAACACTGATAAATCAAAAAACATTTATTTTTTTTGTAAATTTCCTTATGTCTTTCTTAACATTGAACCCTTCCTTACTTTGAACTTGGAGGTCCATCTCTCGAATCTCTGTGAATCTATCTCGTAGTTCTTGTGGCAGATGTTCAATCACTGAAAAAGTACAAAATGTTATCTCCAGTATGTAGGAATTTTTAACTTAATTAAAGTGTTATAACACAATGAGCCAGCGATGCTTTAAATTTAGTGTTACTGTTGAACATCATACAGATAACAAAACTTACTGGACACCACCTTCTTAAAAGGTTTTTAAATTGAACTTGGACTAAAACAATATTATATTTTCTAAAATAAAAGACACAAAGAGGGAACACAATCAATACTGATCAAAAGATGTTACTGCCACAAGACTTTTCCTTAAAAAAGGTATAAGGTAGCTGTGGAACATTAGCTATACAATGGACATAATCCGTAAACAATACTATTCTAAGTATAATCTACTTCATAATGTGAATGTAATCAAACAATGCTAATGAAAAATAAAACCTTTTATTTACAATACTATTATTATTGAATCAGTCAAATTAACTTACATATTTATTAAATAAAAAATACTCACTTTCAAGATAGTCTTCTAAATACAACATTTTTATGGTGGCTCACTCTCACAGATGTCCTGTCAAGAACAAAAAATGCCAGGTATAGATACCTTTCTAAAATTCTACGTTTATAAAACCATCATTTATTTTAATTAAAATAAAATTAAAAAACAAACAACAAAAGAAAATATATTTTAGTTGCTTTATGCATCCTGAAAAAGGATGCATAAATTTCAGTGAGTTTAAAATCTTAACCTCAAGTTGCATAATTATCAACATATACAAGTCATGCTGAGGATCTGGACTTAAAGAAAGCTTTTATAAGGTACCAGATAACCTTAAGACTGCATCTGTTGTGGTAGGCAAAGAGCAAATAGATGGATCAGGAGTTTGATATTCGGGCATGTGTTTTTAACTCACTTTAGTGGTATACAGATTTTAAAAACTTTTGGTTATTTAGTTACCATGCTGTAGTTGCAGCAACGTGCAACTCAGAAAACCAGTGGGGTTGCCTTATTTCTTTGTTTTCTATACTGTATAATGTCTATTTGGCACGAGAGGATACTGCAATAACATATAATTTCTAAGTATAGCCAACTAATACAGTAGGAAAATGAACACCACAAGGTGACTCTGTTAACCAGACAAAAGAAAGCGAGTTTATCTGTTGCATTCAGGTGGCTTTCTTTAGCTAGCTTCTACTAGGATGTTGTCAAGTGAAGAATTATTTCAAGAAAACTGTTGTTTTACTTTTGTGGAAATTAATCCCGAAGGAGAGGAAGCTGTGGAGCTAAATACACCAGAGGGATAGGAAACTGTAGAGCTAAATACACCAGAGGGATAGGAAGCTGTAGAGCTAAATACACCCAATGGAGAGGAAGCTGTAGAGCTAAATACACCAAAGGGATAGGAAGCTGTAGAGCTAAATACACCAGAGGGATAGGAAGCTGTAGAGCTAAATACACCCAATGGAGAGGAAGCTATCGAACTAAACACATCTGAGGGAGAGGAAGCTGTGGAGCCAGATACAACCGAGGAAGAGGAAGCTGTGGAACTGAACACACCACAGAGAGAGGACGCTGTGGAGCCAAACACATCTGAGAGAGAGGAAGTTGTTGAAATAAACACATCTGAGGGAGAGGAAGTTGTTAAAATAAACACATCTGAGGGAGGGGAAGCTAGGGAACTAAACACACCCAAGGGAGAGAAAGCTGGGGAACTAAACACAGCCTAGTAGAAGTGAATGTCATTCCATACATATATATGTGTTTTCAGTTTGTTTGTCATAATAAAGATTTTGTTTATTTATTGACATTTGTCCAGATTCACTGTTTTATATTTAAATGAAGTCAGTCAAGTTATCTACTATTAACAATCCCCTTATTTGAATTGACTGTGAAATGGCCTATTAGAGAAACACCTGTAGAAATATGTTGGTGACTATACAATCTACTTTCCTGAAGACAAAAGATGAAAGTCTTTCATCATACACACTTGTGCTTCATAGGTAGATGTACAGTCACCAACATATTGCTACAGGTGTTTCTCTAATAGGCAGTTGCTGCCCATTTCAAAGTCAACTTAATATGGAAACTATGCTTATCAAAGGATAGTCTCCTTATTTCTTGAACATATCTGCTGTTATTTGTGGGTTTGGGTTTCAAATTCTAGTCAGGAAATAGGTTTTACCTGAAAATACCACAGGTGTTGGTGGTATGAGGTTGTTCTTAGAGGGATAAAGTCACAGAGCATTAATGTTATAAGTGATGTACCACAGGGTTCTTTGCTAGGCACTCGTATTTCTCATTTTCACTACCAACACTGACCAGCATGCCCAATAATCTACAGCCATGAGTACTTCAGGTGCACATTTTTGAAGTGGAGTTCACTCACAAAATTTGTGTCATATAAATATATATATATATATATATACACACATTTATGCACAGAAATTTTGGTTCATGTGCATGAAAGAAAGGTAGAAAAAACACATTTTGTGTTCCAATTTTGAATGCTATAGTTAACTCTAGTAATCACCAATATCAAACAAATGTTTTGAGGTGGGTACATGTACACAGTATACATGAGATATTGGCTTGACCCATATAAATAATAGCTGACCTCATGGATTTCATGTGGTTTTCTTCTATGCAACGAACTTTGCCATACAGCTATCAATGAAATGAGAGAGCTATTGGATTGATTTGTATATTCGTGGGTAAGCTGTCCAGCGGGTGACCTGTTAAGTGGTCACATCTGATTAGTCCAACCTTTATACCTACAAAGTTTGCAATCAAAAGGAACACACGACTTTAAATGGATTATCAAGTAGCTTGTTTATAAAATGACTGATAACTGATTGTGAGCTTTTATTGTTTCATTTCTGTAAGCAGCTTAATGCTTGGCCAAAGGAAGTCTACTTGGACTTGTAATAATTACATAATGATCACACACTTTTGTTTTAAGGAAACTGATGATTTTAACCAATTTCAACGTGTGTAATTGTCAGATTACATCACAATGTCACGGACAACAATTTCTTCATTTTTTACCACTATAATGTCACAAACATGCATGTACATATATATATACATTGAACAGATCCAAAACTACAGTATCACTATGATATAAAGACAAGGCATAATTGTTACAGGGGGCTTTGCAAAAATTTAGTCACTATAATAATTTAAGTGTCCACCCTCAAAATTTGACACCTACGGGTATTTAACCCCTAAGTCTGAAATCTTATTGAAAACCCTGATTGATAGTGAAATAATCAGGAAAGATGATGCCAAATTGATATGATTTTTAAACTGTTACTGCTAGTTGTTGCAGTTTTGCAGAGAGACTGTGAACTATTTGTTGATGGACTCTGGAAAGCATGTAAAAAGGCAGACAACACTGATATTGGTGTATCGTTAAAAGGAAGACAACACTAGCACTGGTGTATTCTAAAAAGGGAGACAACACTGCCATCAGTGTATTGTAAAAAGGAAGACAACATTGGCAACAGTGTATTATAAAAAAGGGAGACAACACTGCCATTGGTGTATTGTAAAATGGAAGGCAACTCTGCCATTGGTGAATTGTATAAAGGAAGACAACACCGCCATTGGTGTATTGTAAAAGGGGAGACAACACTGCCATTGGCAGAAATCTTGAGCACACTTCTCTAGTTTATTCATTTTTGACAGCACTTTTGAGATCACTTTTGTTACTTTTTATAAGTGAAGTTAGCAAAATATCATAATTCACCATACCTTAGTACCTACCACATTTTGTATGATTTATTTCAGTTTTTTGTCTGTAAGTTGATAACAATGACATGAGGTTTTTTAAACCACCAAACATGTACTGTTAAAATAGAGAGAAAATAAAAGCAGTGCTAGCTTGAAAAAAATAGTTTGTGGTATGCATTATAATATGGTTTTGAAATAGCATGTATAATATCCAAACTTTCCTGAGTAAAAACTTGTGATTTCCATTGTGTGTCTGTTTGCTCTGGAGAAATTTTATTTCCATAAAAGCAGCAGCTTTTCATATATGTAATTATTTTAAACACAATTTTTATTTCTAAATCCCTTGGGTTTTATTATAATTTATAAAACTTTCGTTAGAAACACTGATTAGGAAAGTGCATAATACTAGTACTAGTAGTAAAACTTTTGGCATACACGCTTCAAAACCACGTTTTCTTTAACAAACAAAACAAAACGTAACTGACTGAACTTCCCGCTAAAAATACTGTATAACAAAATATTATTCTTAGTCAGAAATACAGAAAAGAGAATTATGTAATACAAATATAATATATACTTTACAACCACGTTTTCTTGTTTAAAAAAAAAGCCAAATATTCTATAAGTGGATGAGCTTCGCGCGAAAAGAATTTGGAATATAGATATACAAAATACTAATACAGACCTGCGCACAGAATAACCAATAACACGTCATATCCTATACGCCATGACAGTTTTCAGTGAACTAAGAAATTTACGACTAACAAACTTACCAATTTGAAAAATTCTGATATTGAACCTCAGCGTTTCATACAACAGTCATATAAAAGTACAAATTGTACGACCTATGCTAATGAGAAAAAATATATACCTGATAATTTTCTATTCCGAAACACTACATACAATTACAAGTTAAGTTAGGCTTCCATAACCACATCACTTCAAAAATACTTTTAATCTCTTGCCCTTAGACGGCGCTACGTTTATATATATATATATATATATTTATACAAGATGAAATTTTTTATTATATTTTTAAAGCATTCATCAACATTTATTCTGGTTTCTTATTATAATTGAGCTTGCGTAGTATACGTCCAAAACTCGGATTTCGGAAACTACCGCACCGATCATCACCAATCATAACTGGGTAATTTTTTTATAACTGGGCAGTATTTATATGGCTGAGCAATAATTAAAACAATTGAAATTTCCTCAAAAACTATATGTTTCACATTTAACTCATAAAAATTACAAACAAAAAGGAGTAAGTTTCAGATTTAACCACTACAAATTACCAAAAAGAAGCCAGTTTCAAATATGAGACAATCAAAAACAAACTTAAAAAAAATATTTGTTTTTCTTTAGTGAATATCTCATGAATGTTGTAAGAGAAAACGCAAAGCACTATCTTTGATAACTGTGTCTACAAAGAAATACTTCAATAAAATCTACTCTGTGATGTAATGCTGTGATGATAGCTCATTTTTAAACTAACATTTCAATAAAATCCCTCTTCTCATGGATGATGAACATTATTGAATGTCAAGTATGAGTACATTGTTGTAGAAATGTCAGACTATACCAGAAAAGGCCGTAGACCTAATATACTTCCGGAGGAACTAGCAGTTATACTTGCAAGGAGGGCGGGTATTTCTGCTAGTATTGATAATAACTCTTTCGGCAGTCATATGTTATTTATGTTACTGCATTTAGCGTATGTTACTATAAATGTTTCTATAGTGAATTTCCATTTATTTATCACAATTTCAAAGTTAGAAATAAAGTATTAAAAAAGAAAGCACAAATCAGCGTTATAAATGCAAAAGTAGTTATCTTATAAAAATTATTGCTGTTGCGCTCACTAACGTGGCGAAAATATAGTGTCGCGTCAGCGAGGTCACGTGACTAATATCACGCCACGTCCTTCTCGAACCTTCGTGAATTGCCGGGAAACTACTAGATTGGGGGTAGCCTGGTATATATAAGACGGTCCCAACGTGACGGAACAATGAGTAATTGAACTGCAGTCAGAGAGTGTGTAATTGAACTGAGTATTGTTGAAGTTGAGCACGTGAGACGTTTGTTGAGAATTATGGCGTTTGTTATAGCGCGACTGTTGAAATTAAGTGTATCGCAAAGTTATATTCAGAAAGAATAAACCAGTTTTATTTAAGAAAGGACTTGTGTCGCTAAAGTTTCGTCGGAACGAATTTACGGAAAAGTAACGAACGAACAGAGACGTAACATTATGATAGCTGACACCAAAGGCCTGGATAATGAATGCATTATCTTCATAACTTGCTAAACATGCATA